GGTCTGGACACCTGGGTCGCTGGGGATGCGTTTTGCAGCCCCGGCAAGCTGGGGCTCGGCGTGGGGCAAGCGCTGGCCGGGCGGCTCAGCCCCCGGGTGGGAAGTGCCACCATGTTGTTGCTGCGCCTCCGTCAGACCTTGGGAGTTCGTGGCCTCTTCCCATCGGTGGGGGGGCCCCGGCAGCCCCCCGTGCACCAGAGACTGCGGGGTGTGGTTTATATATATATACACACACACATATATATATGCTCTTCTTGGAATCTGTGGGTTTGGGTTTTTTTTAAAAGAAACCCTTCTAAACCCCTGCATCTCTGGATTGTGACAACTGTAAATATTTGGAGGGAGGTGAGTGAGGGAAAACTCTTTGTTTCGGTTGTTTGTTCTGTGGCGATCCTTTGGCTTCACCCGGGAGGGTGGGGGTGCAACCGCTGCCGCTTCCTGGGGGCAGAGCGAGAGGTATCGGCTCCACGCTTTTAGAGAGGTTGGCCCGAAGCATCTCTGGGCAGGGACAGAGGACAGGCTGGTGGCAGCAGCCCTTCCAGCCGCCGAGGCCTCGCCGCGCCGTCCATCTCCCTGTGGCTATCAGGGGCGATCGCTGCTTGTGTAACGCAGGTACCTGTTCCAACAGGAACTGCACTGAAACATTTTTCTCCTCCCCAATCCTCTCGCTGTTCGTGTTATGTATTACCAACCGTCAGAAGGTAATAACTTTGTGCGTGCAGATCTGGACTTGTTAGCCGCAGAAAATGGCTTTAAACCCCACTGGGGCAGTAGGTTAGGGGTGTATTTGCGAGTCCTGTTGCATCTGGTAATACAAATGTGCTTTAGGGGAGAGCGGCTGGGCTTTGTTTTAACCTCCAGTAAAATCCTTAGGAAGGTGCTTCGGCTTTTCTGTCGTAAACGGCAAAGCAGGACCAAGTCAGACTCATCGCACGTCTGCTCTCAGGTTTTTGCGTCGCGTTTCATATACAGCTGGTGTTTATTAAAAAATAGTAATAATAAATAAACAGGAAAGAGCCAATTGACTGTGCGTATCTCCTGGAAACTCAGCCGACTGTCAGTGCCTTTGATACTGGGCTCTGTACAGGCTGGCTATTGTTTCCCCTCCACGTGCACTGTACGTTTTTGTTCGCGCTGTCTGGTGAGAGGTGTGAGCTCCGGCGGGCTTTGAGGGCGGCGAGGGAGCTGCGTTTGCGGAGCTGGGGGCAGGATGGCAGGGAGCAGGGACCCTAACCCGGTGAATTGTTTGCTGCCTGAGCAGCCATGATGCAGGCTCGTGTGCCGCCCCTGCCAGCGAGGGCTGCCCTGGCTATTGTGCTTTGTATAAGAGGTCTTAGTGGCTGCTTGTTTCAGGGCAGGTTGGAAAAACATCCGAATTTCTGCGGTGCTGGGGAGCTGTGAACCTCTGTGTGCGTCGGTAAACAGAGTAGAAAACGCCCCACACACACACTCCTTCCTTTAAAGAAAAGGGGAAAAAAAAAAAAAAAAGGTGCCTCTGCAGCGATGCTTACAGGGTGGTTGTAGGTTGGCTTTGTTTGCGTGCTTGAAATAAAGCAAAAGAATACCGTGGGGAGCAATCTTGGGCCAGCAGATTTTATTATTAACACCTGCTTAAAATATTTACCCGGTTAAATCGGGCAAACTCCGCCTGGTCCATAAGTTACATCGTACAACTTTCCAAGAAAGACTCCTCTAACTGGAAATTAAAAACAGTGTCCAACAAGCATTCTTGAACTCCTTCAGCTCCTTGGCCAGACAGCTTGGATTTTTTTTTTTTTCCCTGGGTACGCCGTCCGCTGCCAGTAGTGGATGCTCCGGAAATCACTATTGCGAAAGGAGTGAAGTAAAACGTCAATTCTCTTAACAGCAAGCAAAGTTCACTGGGTGTTGACCAGTGGAAATATGTTCCCCGCCGCACAGCCGGCGCGGTTATCTGAGCAGACCGAGAAGGAATTGCTCGTCTCGAGGGAGAAAGCTGCGATGGTATTACAGGGATGAAACGTTGGCTGGTGCTGGGCTCATGGAGGCAGGCCCGTGTGTGTGAGCAGTCCTACGGGGTGGGAGGCCTCTTCTGTCCTCGTTATTTAAGCTTATTTTAAGTTATTTAAGCTTGCCAGCCTCCCTTTTCATCGATTGCAGAGCCATTTCTTTATTTTTTCATCAGAAAAGTGGACTTTACCGCACGTTAAAGCCCCTCGGCAAAGGCTTGGTTTTCTAGCCCTTGCTGCTTTCTGGAAGTAACCTGTGGGCTGCTGGGTGTCGAAATACAGACTGGGTGTTAAACAAATGGTTATTCAGACTCTTAAAAAGTGCCAGTTGCCAGAGAATACCCAGCATGTGAAGTCTTGAAAGCCATCGCTAATGACCTGTGCATCTGCCCTGCCGTGCGGCTGGTTTACAGGATTTCCTTCCACCATACTGGTGTGGTATGGGTGGCTCCTAAACTGGTTTCCTAACAAGTTAGAACACAAAATAGGTGTCAGACCGGAGCCTGGAGAGGGAGTTGGGAGCCATATGTCTGTTTTCTAAGTTGAAGAGCAACAGCAGCAGCAATGTCAAGGCTGCTTCTAATTAACCTATTAATGATGAGACTCCTGTCAATTCGCTTATTTAAAATTAATTTAGAAGCTCTCCTTTTGTGTTACTTGAGTAGGTGCAGGGAAAGTTCTTCACTGTAAAGGTGAGAATGCGTTCTTCCTGCCTTTTTTTTTTTTTTTTTCTTTTCCATTTAGGCTGTGTTTGCTAGTCAGCCGTGATGTGTTCCCGTTGGGTTCAACGTGTGCCAGGGGACTGCAGCCAGCTTGAAAAAGTTGGGACTCTTGTTTCCAACTTTAAATATCCTAGTATAATTTTTAGTTCCTGGATGCCTTGTGTGAAAGTGCTTTTCTTGTAGTGCTTTGCAGCTAATTTTAACTCTCTTTCATTTAGCAGCAGCGGGTCAGTAGATTTCATAAGCACCAGCAAGGAGCAAAAGAGATGTTGAGGTCCGAAAGTAGGAGGACAAGTTGATGGGACAGCGAGAAGTAGGAAAGCTGTTGGAGGTGGTGGTACTGTAGCTGCAGAAGAGCAGGTCTGTACTCATTCCTTCGGCTCCCTCGTAAGGAGATGGGGCGGTGTGAGCATCCAGAACTGGCCTTGCGCTTGGTTTTGGGGACGGTGGGTGTAGGTGAGCTGACTCTGGGTCTCGGAGAAGATACTGGTGTGCTACACAAGGCAGGCATTTTGGACTCGGACATATCCTAGAGAGGGATCTAGGGATCCCAGTTGTTGCCGCCAGGCAGACGAAGGATCGAGGTAGGTATAATGGAAAGTAAATTATTTGGGGTTTAAGTCTTCATTGGATGGCTTAGAGTGTCCTTGTCCCTGCCTTTCGAAAGCGAAGCCCGGGTGCTTCAAGAAAGCAACTGTTCTTGGTGTGGTGTGGCTGAATGAGGAGCACAGAGGGACTCCTGGAACAGACCTCTGCTCCCTTGCCACAAGGGAATGGATTTTATTCCCAACCCGCTCTTGGGCAAAATGCTCTGTGATAAAGGTTGTTCTTTCTTTATTTCGGCACGGCATATAGCTAAACACTGAAAGGTATTTCTTTCTTCCAAGCGTGTTTACACATGTCCCTCTTCATTATAGCATCTAAAGAGACAGCAGAGGTACAAACCCAGTTGTTTTTCCATTTCTCTTGCTAACATTATGCTGCTGCAGCATTAAAACATCACGACCAGATTGGGTCTCATTAAGTTAGGTGCTGTACAGAGACATAATAAATTTCAGCTCCTGTTCCAGAGCCTTACAAAGGCTCAGAAGTCAGGGGAATCGTTGTTCTCCCAGCCTTGATTCAAACTGTTGAAAAAGAACAGCAGCTTACAATCACTGCAAAAATCTGTTTATCTGGTAAATACATGGGTGGTTATTGGCAATTTTACCAATGATCATCCTCAGGTTAATTATCTTAATACGTCTTGATCAGGTCGTGTTTAGCTCTGAGAAAACGTCATCTTGCATCAGGATGGTTTTGGAAAATGTATTCCAAAAGGTGGTTAACACCATGACATTAGATTCTGCTGTGAAACTTTCCCCTGTCTAGCTGCAGAGGCATCTTGACACATGCAATCCTGTGCGAGAATAAATATGTGCAAAATGAGCTCAGATAGTTGCTGGGAAAAAAAAGAAATGTTCTTTGACTGTCAGAGCATAATATTTTAGTCTCCCTGGAGGCGAGAGCTCTAATCTGCAGACCCCCACCCGCTTGCTTGGATTCGTTTTGTAAGTACGCATCACCTTTAACCGGGGAATTTGGTACAAGGGGGCCTTCTCTTGCTTTCCTCTCTGCTGCGGTTAACGCAAAGGGATGCTAACGCCTCCGTGCCCTGCTCCTGCTGGGAGCAAGCCTGCTGCCGCCTGTAACCCGTGAACCTCGCGGGGAGCAGAAGCACCTCCTGGGCTCGGGGTGGTGGCTTGAGGGAGAACCCGGCCTAGCAGCCGAGCCTGCGTTAGCCGAGGATCAAGGAGGGTTTGTCTTCTGGCAGTGCCAACTGGCTGCTCGCGTTTTTCGGCAGAGACCGGGTTGGCTCGCTCCTGCGCTTGATGTCACGACCACCTGCGCTCTGCCTTGGATTAAATCGCAGCGAGGGTTTGCTTCGGTATAAATACCAACCTGATCCATCTCTTGAGTGAGAACAAAGCTTTCATTCTGAGGATCTGCAGCTTAATGTTCGGCTTGTTTAAACAGCTTCTTTAAAGGGCTGGGTTTGTCTCTGAGCAGAATGTCAGCAAGAGTGCGCTGAGCAGATAGAGCAGGCTCTGCTGCCAACTTCTGCAGCACCTTCCATGCAGACTCATCCCCAGGCGTTCTGCGAGAGGGGAGCTCGCCGCCCCAGCTCTGTGAACTGCTCTTTTGTTTTCCTTTGCCCCATCTATTTTCTTCAGCCCAGTCAGTTTCTTTTATTAAGTAGATTATATGTTTTGCTCAATAGGAGCTTTTCTTCTCAAATAAAAAGAATGCTGTTGGCATGAAAAATGCTTTTATTCGCTCCCGTCTCCATTTGCTTCGCCCAGGCATCCCTGGCTGCTCTCAGGAGCACCCAAGAGATGCCCGGCGGGGAGCTCTGCGTACCTGTCCGTTTTCTGACCCCCACCCAAGGGGAAAGAACGGCTGCTTTTTCCGGACTTCTGATGTTACTGATACGAGAAGAATTTTCGCTTCTAGTTAATCAAACTTGAAATGCTGGACCCGCGCGGGCTGCCCTGTAATTCTCCTCTCTGCCGGAAGCTTCCCGGTTCCCGGCGAGCTCCGGTGCAGACAGGCCTTTCCCCCCGGCTCGGCCGGCGCCTGCGGGAGCGGGGCCCCTCCCGCCGCAGGCTGGTAGCCAGCAGTAGGTGATGCTTAGGGAGGATATGGCTGTAGCGGTGGTAGGTGTATATCCTGGGCTTTTTCGTAATAAAAATAAAGGGAGAGTCAACTCCTGGCTGCATGAGGGAGGCTGGCGCTGGACTTCAGCTTCTACCCAGGGATCTGACCACCTTTCCAAAAACTTGAGGGCCTACCTGCAGCCCCTGGAGGTTATGGGCTGGAATACCTAGAAAGCCCCTCGAGGGTCTCTCGTGAAAGGTGTAGCAGAAGTACATCCGAGTGTGGAAGGCTTAGTTTTCTTTGTTCATGCCGCCCTCGTTACCGTAGGGGGTTTTGAGGTGCTAACTCTAAGAATTGCTCTTAAAAAAGAGCAATTGTCTCGAAGGGGGAACATCAGCTGGCACCACCACGAGGTGAATCGAGGCCGTGGGGAGTGGGGCATCCCCGTCCTTAGCAGGAAACTTCTGCTTTCTGTACAGGACAGGTACGGATCTTCGTACCCTGTCCCTGAACACCGGGGCTCTGGTATCATACCCTGCAGGTAAACAGATTTCTTTTTTTTTTTTTTTTTTTTTTTTTAACTCTACAAATGAAACTGAGCCTGATACAACCAGCTCCTCTGCTTTCCTTCTCAAAAGGGTGCTTAATTTCAGGCCAGATACTTCAGTCAGAAGTTTACAAAACCAGTTTTATTAACACATTGAAGTGTTTTATTTACTTCGGAGCTTCTGGAAGCAAAACTGCCAGAGCCTAAATCTTGGCCTTGAGACCTTAGAAATGAGTTTTAACAGGATCCAAGTGCAGCTTTGCTGTATCTAAATCAAGTTGAAAAGAACCTACATGGTGAAATGTGTGTGGCTTAAATGTTTTTAATTCATACCTTGAGTTTTTGATAGAGTAATAAAGGAGATGCTTTAAAACACCATTTCCTTTTAAGTATACTTGAAGGTAGGAATCTGCCCTGGCTGCTCTTTCCTTCCTCATGGCTTCATAAAAACTCCATTATCACCAGCCTTTGTCCCCCAAAGTGGGCATATTTTCCAGAATAATTGTCTTTTCTGTGCTCTGCTGACCGCTGGAGAGCAGCTGTTTGTCAAGTTGATCATTAGTGGGTATTTTCCCTTTCAATCTAAAGTTTCCCCTTAAAAGCTGTGCAATCCATGGGTGCGGTGCTCTGAACCCTCCTCGATACCATTCAGTCTCAGGGTCTTCCCTGTCCATTTTCCATTCTATGCCCCTTTTCCTTGGCCTGTGCTAAGCACACAGGAATAAGCTGCGTTTGCTCATGATGCTTTTGAAAGATGTCTCGCAGCTCTTCTGGGTTTTACTGGCTTTTTACTGCTTCTGCAGTTGTGAATCTGTTGGTTCAAAGCTCACCAGCATCTGCATTTAGCCTCTCTGAAATACTGCAGCCCACCTCGGAGCTATTAAGCAGCTCGCAACAACAGCTAGGAAATGAGGAGCACAGTGTCCAGAGAGAATTAAGTGAATAGTAATGCAATTAGCCTGACTGATTTACCTAGGCCACTGGTGATGGGGGATAATGGGTGTCTTCCTCCTAAACGAAGCCTGAAGTTGATCAGGACCTGCTTGGTTTTTGATAAGCTCGAGGTAACATGCCCCCCCCCCCGCGCCTCGGAGCGGGTGCTGG